ATTTAAATTAAAAAAAAAGAGAAAAAAAAACTTCTTTTAAAGACTTTAATTCTGGGGCTAAATAAATAGATCAGTAGTTAAGAGCATTTGCAGCTCATCTAAAGGGTAGATAATCCACAGGGTAGATAACAACTACCTATAACTCCAGTTCCAGGGGCTATGATGCCTTTATCTAGCCTGTGCAAGCACTGTACACATATGATCCACATGCATACATCCAGGCACTCACAAATACAGATAACAAAAAAATAGTTTTAAAGAAAAGACTTAAATTCTTTCCCTAGGAGGATCATTTAAACTTGATTTTCAGAAAAGATAACTTGAAAAAACACTGCGGCACAAGGAAAAATCCCTGAACTCTAAAATTTCATATACTCAATATCATGCAAATGTGGATTCAGATCAACCAAGAGGAGCACACTCTTGATCCACTGGCCAAAGGACTATGATATCCACATGGTTGTTGCCCTCAGCATCATGGAGAAACAATCACTTGCATATTGCAGACAGAACACCCTGGCAGATCAGACAGACAGTGAAGATGCAGGTGGCTTTCTCTGTGTTGCCAGGCAGGAGGCCCAGAGAAGAGGTAGCAGTTTGCACAAAGGATATGCTGTGATTGGAATAGTTTACTCTAAGGGAACTGATACAGAGAGCCTTAACTATGGTTTCACAATCAAATTGTCTGATATAGTCTAAGAACTACTTGATACATAGGCCTAAATCCAAAGAATTTGAAAGAGGACTGGAGAGATGGCTCAGTAGGTAAGAGCACTGGCTCTTCTTACAGAGGACCTGGATTCAGCATCCACAAATTGGCTCACAACCTCCTGTAACTCCAGTTCCAGGGAATCCGACACCGTCTTCCATGGGCATTGACAATATGGGTGCATTTATATATACATGCAGGCAAAACACTCATACATATAAAATACAAATAAATCAATCAAAAATATTTTTAAGAGTCTGAAATAAATGGTTTACAATGGATCGAAAAGGCTTCAGTGCTTTTTAAAATCCTCTAAATGATTCTAATATGTAAACAGGAAGGAGGATTATGGAAGTCAGTCTTAAGACAATGACAAAATTGTAACTGTGATGACCAGTCCAGGTGGTAGCAAGGAAAGAAGATCAGCAGTCTAAGCGCAGGCGCACAAGAGGGGCCACTGTGAGGTCACCTGAGATCCAGTCCAGGAATGGAGCATCTACAAGGGAACTAGAGCAGAGAGAAAGGGCTAACATTCTGCTTGAAATGCCTGCAGCTTTCCTCGAGGGCCCACCCAGATGCTGGCAGTGTAACACAGAGGCCTTCTTCTCTGACACTCTCACTGTTGCTTCACTGCCTGCCCCCTTCTTTCTGGGCATCAAAGATACTGCAAATCTCCGGAATATCAGTTTTTCTCTTTTGTTATGGTGCAGATTGTTTCTTCTTCTTAAAACACCCGCCTTCTCCCTCTTCTCAGCCACCATTTTCTCAATTTCCTCTTTCCTCATTAGCATAGCTCTCCCTCATCCATCAAAAAAAAAAGACCTGCTCCAAAAGCCTCTTCGTATTAGCCATTCTCTGAGCCTTCACATCTAATAACCCCTAAAGTTTCTGTTTCCTATCCCAGCCCTTCCATACAAATTTGTCTTACTCCCTCCAGCAGTCCTCTGAAGACAGAGACATTGTCTTCTTCCATTTTATATTCTAAGGTGCTAGTGCTTTGCACACAGGAGACTCAAACACCATTCCTTCAATGAGCAAGGGGCACATGGGTGGCAAAGGTCCGGAAGGGAAATTCCTGATTCTCCAAGGGTGTTTCTTGCATGACACACAGCTCATTAAGAAAACTTGGCTATGTAGTTATGTTTCAAGATCATTTTGATGGTGCTTCATTTAGCTTCCAAGTACAACAAAGATAGGTCAGTACTTTAAGGACCCTAGGAAAAAAGGAGCCATATATATATACTCAAGCTGTGTTTCCAAACAGAGCTGTGCAAAACACCAGAAGTCTTAATAAACTGTGAAGATGGTTTGAGAGGGTTTGTTTGAGAAAGCATTCAAAGTTCAAACTTCAACTCCATCATTCCTTTAGTCTGCCTTCTTGTATAAGAGGCACTCAAATTTACACTCCTTTTTTCTTTTGTGTTTTTGATATATGGTCTCTCTGTAGCTCTGGCTGGCTTGGCCTGGAACTTGCTATGTAGACAGACTGGCCTCCATCTCACAGAGCTCTGCCTGCCTCTGTCTCTCCACCAGGAGTGATGGGATTAAAGGCATGCATGCACCACCACACCATGCTCAAATCCACATTCTTAATGAGTCAAAAAATAAATAAAATATCACATGAACCAATGCTTGCAAACACCCTGATTAATTTTCCAGTCCATTATTATGCAAAACATCCAACTCAGTATTTTCTTAAGGTCTCATAGACTTTCTGTACAAACTAACCTAAAAAACTAGTCACTTTTAATCCATGTACACCTGATGTCAGACCAGTAAAAACGAAAAGCAAGAATAAAAAAAATAATTAAATGGAATAATAATACCACTGTGCTCCTCATCTATGGTCAGTATCAACAGTAAGATGTACCATTGATTAAATAACAGCTTTTAGAGGAAAAATAAAATATCCCCCACAAATATAGTTGAGATATATCACAATTTAAGAATGAATAAGTATGGGCTGGAGAGATGGCTCAGCAGGTAAAGAGCACTGGCTGCCCTTGTAGAGGACTGGGTTCAATTCCCAGTACCCACATGGCAGCTAACAATGGTTCATAACTGTAGTTCAAGGAGATCCAATGCCTTCTCCTGATCTCCACGGGCACTGAACAACATGGGCGTACTATCTACAGGCAAGAAACTCTCATACACATAAAATAAAAATAAAATATTTTTTAAAAGAATGAATAAATGCTCATCTCAAAAATGAAGAGAAAACAGACTGTAGACCCACATACAGGTAATATTTGACTCTCCTCTTCCCAAGTGCACACAAATATTAAAGAAAATATATTTTTTAAGTTGTACTATCTGATTTCAGGAAAAAATAACAGTTCTATCCCCAATATACATTTCCAAATTTTTAGACCATAAAGCCAAGTGTTCTGTCAGCCTGGATAGCACTGTCTAAGCATCTTGGCAGTGAGAAGTGCCCAGTAATATGTAACTGGGAGCTAGGGACAGGACACCCAAGAATACATTTTTCCTCATCAACTCCTGTCCTTCTCACTAATGGCCTGGAAGATAGAGCAGATAACTAGAGCCTTAGCAGCCTTGAACCCTGAGAATTACTAACCATGGATGGCCTGGAAGATAGAGCAGATAACTAGAGCCTTAGCAGCCTTGAACCCTGAGGATTACTAACCATGGAAGACAGCAAAGCAGAGAGAGGAAACTGAGGAGATAACTTAGAGAAGGCAGACTGGCTCAGCAGGCAAAGGTATCTGCCACCAAGCCTGGTGAACAGAGTTTGCCTCCTCAGGACCCACACAGTGAAAGAATAGACCCAGTTCCTACAAGCTGTCCTCTGAGCTCCACCAGCGCACGCACACCGCACACACACACACACACACACACACACACACACACACACGTACACACACACACGTACACACACACACACACACACACACACACACACCAAACATCATAAAAAATGCTACAAAAAGAATGCTTAGAAACTAAAGGAAATGAAGTTTTTAAAAAGGACAAAAATTTGTCTTTGGTAAGCATGCATGTTTCTTTCTTTTCCAAAAATTCTGCCTGGAAATATATGCCACTATGCAGAAAACTCTGCAGGACAACTACAGTTCCTTTCAAAGAACAGAAATATTCATTAAGCACACTATAACATTCACTATGGTAACTAGCAACTTAAAGATAGGAATTATTTTATTTTATTTAGCTATTTAATCATTTTAAATATGTATCCAAAAACCAGTAATCTCTAGTATTTAAAATGAGTGACTAGATGTCAAGTTCAGCAATTCAAAGTTACTAAATTATATTATTTGGTTTTCCTAACTGTCCACTCATTCACATATTCATATTGTTCTTCTAAGATGAGTTACTCCCTGTAAAGAACTTAAAGCCCTCTTACCTTCTGTGGTTGGAAACACTTCTTTCGTTTTCACCTCTGCCAGCTTTCCAGTCCTGAGTAAAACCTCAGCAAAGCTCTCCATAGGGACCTGCTGATAGGGGTCATGCGTCACTTCAGGACAGTCAGAAGCAGTAGTTTCACAATTTAATAAGGTACGGTTCTTTTTCTAAGAATGTGTTATTAGAAAGCAAAATTCTAGAACTTTATAGCTTTTGATGAGTAAAACAGTAACTTGTCACTAAAGCACATTATCTAACATTTTAATGAATGTTTTAAAAATATTTTATTATTTTTATTTTATATGTTGCCTGCATGGCTATAAGTGTACCAGTGTTGTGCAATGCCCGCAGAGGTCAGAGGAGGGTGTTGGAGTCCCCTGGAACTGACGTTATAGATGGTGGTTAACTGCCTTGTGGGAGTTGGGACTTGAACTCAGGGCCTCTGCAAGAGCAGTCAGTGCTCTTAACCACTGAGCCATTTCTCTAGTCCTGTTTTAATGGATTTTTATCTCTAAACATACCATGATGAAATCACACAGAACCAATAGCTACATGAGTAAGAACCAAGTCAAAGATGTGTGCCAGGGAAATTTACCTTCCCTTTGTACCATCTACACTAAGGCGGCTAAATCAGCCTCCTAGGCACTCTGTCTTTACCTCCGTGACAAAGGGATTGGAGATTACTGATTCATAAAAAGGATGGCATCCTTGCTTTTCTAGGTCTTCATTGGCCACAGTTCCCATTCGAAATGCACCACCAAATTCTTGTCCCTGAAAACAATAAAGTGAAAAAAACTGAATTTTAAAAAAAGACTTGAGCATTTGGAGTCCTGTTCAGAACGTTACTTCCCCAGGGTTTCCTCTAGCAGTCTCAAAGGTTCAGGTCTTGCATTAAAGTTCTTGATCCATTTTTGATTGACTTTTGTATAAGGTAAGAGACAGGAATCTAGTTTCAGTATTGTACATGTGAGTATTCAATTTTCCCAGGACCAGTTGTTTACAAGGCTCTCTTTTTTCCCACTATCATTTTAGAACCATAGTCAAAGAATCAGATGGCTTTAGGTGCATAGCCGTATTTTTTATTTTTCTCTCCTTTTCTATTGGACCACGCATCTACTTCTGTACTAGTACCATGCTATTTGTTACCACAGTGCTGTGATATACTTGTAAGAAAAGAGGTGTGAAGCCCCTAGCCATGCTCATGTGAATTTGAGGATGGTTTTTCCTAGCCCTGTGAAGAATGCTGTTGGGATTTTGATGGAGACTCCCCTGAATCTATACCATGCTTTTAGTAATTCGGACATTTAAAAAGACTGTGCACCTGGAACTTGTAGATCTTCCCATTTTCTACAATCTTCTTCAGTTTTTTCATCTGTGCTTTCGAGTTCAAGTTCGTGGTTTTTTTTAAGCTATTATGAATGGGACCATCCTCGGAATTCTCTGCAGTGGGTTCATTGTTGTGGATAGTAAAGGTTATCAATTTTTGTATATTGATTTTGTATCCTGCTACTTTGCTGAAGGTGCCTATCAGATCTAGGTGTCTTCTAGTGGATTATTTAGGGCCACTTAACAAGAGAATAATATCTGAGAACAAAATACAGTATAATTTTCCTTTCTTGTTTCTACTTTGTTTCTCTTGCCTTACTAACTTGACTAGGATTCAGAGCACTATACTGAGTAAAAGTGGTGACGGTGGACATTATCTCCTAAGAATCTTAGAATGAGTATTTTCAGTTCTTTCCCATTCAGTATGTTGGCTGTCATATTGAAGTGAGCTTTGCATTACAGTACCATTTCAGTATTATGTAAATATTTTACCTCCTCCACTGTTCCTGAGAAGAAGGGAATTATGCTGAAGTGTTTCCCGACTCTATTCCCAGTATTTATAATTGTGTTTGACCCAAAGAAAATGCCAAGAAAGTCTATGTCAAATAGATGGATGGATGGATGGATGGATGGATGGATGGATGGATAAAAACATGAGTGTTTGGAATGAACTGGTATCACATCCACATTTCCTTTTCCTCTATTTTCCAGTGCAATACCAAAGGACTACAGTGGGACAATGCAGAGAAGACAGCAGGACAACCTTAATTGTTCTGTTAACATGATCCTCTAATTTCAGAGTGGCAGAAATCAGCTGCAAAGTTGCCCCTGAGTTGGTGCTGATCTTCCTCCCCACCTTGTAGAAATACAGAAAAAGCAACTAAGCATTGATGACAGAATGATTTTCTTTCTTCATTTCCCTAAATTTTTATTCTGGTATATAAAGTAAATCTTTCTCAAATGATTATCAGTGTCCTTTGCAAGCAATTCACGAGTGTGTAGTACTCTTATGAAATGCACTGCTTATTCTTTTTAATTTTTAAATTTTATTTACTATTTTTGTGTATGAGTGTTATGCCTGCATGCAGATAAGTGCACCCATGTCATGCAATGCCCAGAGGACAGAAGAGGCTGTCGGATCCCCTGGAACTGGAGTTATGGACAATTGTTAGCTGCCATGTGGGTGCTAAAATTTGAACCCGGGTCTTCTGCAAGAACAGTCAGTGTTCTTAACCACTGAGCCATCTCTCCAGCCCCTAGACTGCTTATTCTTTACCTGATAAGAGGACCAAGTTTCGTAGATTATTTTGATAATCAAAGATGCAGATGTGAAAACAACTGAGGAGCAGCACTAATGAAGGAGGTAAATAACAACACTGACTTTAAAAACAAAGATGTCCTGCTTACTTGCAGGGGCCGCAGGTAGGCTAAGGACTTCTTCCACCACTGCCCATCACTGACAGCCTGAAGCACAGCCTTGGTGGTGGTCGTGGTGTTGGACAGGACTTTCATGGTGGTGGCAGTCGTCCAGTGTAACAGGTCAGCAGAGTTGCTGCCTGGAGCATTAACATCATCCTGTGTTGAGAAAAAAAGGCAAGAGCAAAAATGTCTATTAAGAACAGGGCAAAGATAATGAGACTGCTTAAAATGATTGGATTCATTAGACACAAAGATAAATACTTAAAAACTCATCTTTGCCAGTAACTAAAAAAAAGTGAAAAAAGCACTAATGGCACATTGTTCCTTCCTAAGCCATCTACAAAAAAAAAAAAAAAAAAAAAAAAAAAAAAAAAAGGGAAAGAAAAACCTTAATGCATTACGTCAACAGGTGCTTTCTGTATATGTATAAAGAAAATGATGTGCTCCTTATTCTTACCAATGTAGAAACCACACATTTTAAGTAGTCTTTAAATTAAAGAACAGATTATTCAATTGAACAATGCTTCTGTGAGCATGACAAAAGCAGAAGACTCCAATAATCTATCTTTTAGTGCTAAAAGGCATTGTTTTTTATTTTTTAATCTAAACAAGTAGATGATTAATATTGTTTAAAAGGTGTGGTACGTGTAACCTCCTGTCAATCTTGAAGTAATCAGCAAAAAATCTAACTCCCTCTACTAACCTGAACAATTCCATGAGGAGAAAAATCACATACATTAAGTTGTCTTTTAAACAAAAAGGCGCATGCCTTTAATCCCAGCACTCAGGAGGCAGAGGCAGGTGGATTTCTGTGAGTTCAAGGCCGGCCTGGTCTACATAGTGAATTCCAGGAAAACTGGGGCTACAGGGAGACCCTGTCTCAAAAAAGACAGAAAAACAAAAACAAAAACAAAAACAAAAACAAGGACTGCAATCAGCTCTAGTTCAACAATTATCCTCAAGTATCCCGGTTAAATGAAAGCATTCAAATTAAGTCCTATACTTTCTATATCAATAGCTGTCTTCATTCTTCTGGTACTAATAGCAGACAGCTTAGTTTGGTCACTTAGTTCTGAATCACATCACTCATTAAAGCACTTTGTAAGTAATAAAAAACAGATCATATAATCACTCAGTAATTCATAGGTAACATTGTATAATAAACCAAGTGCATTCTTAATCTACTGGACAGCTGCTATGGAGGCAGAACTCTGGGGTAAGCCATCTTGGTTCTCATCTAGGAACTTACAAGGAGGTTACCCTGCATGGCAAAGGAACTGTACAGATGTTTAAGTACACAGAGAGATTACACAGAAGTATTTCACTTGACCAGTACAATAATATGAGCCCTTTGACAACATGCCAGAGCTCGGGTTGGACAGCGTGTAAGTGAGAATGGGGAACAGGGAAGAGGCAAGAGATTTCAAGCATACTCAACTCACAGTTGTTGCCCTTTGAGAAATTTGAGGACAACTCTGAAATGACAGCTAGTAAAGGGAACATGGACCTCAGTCCACTAATACAAGGAACTCTAACAACATGAATGTGTATAGAAACAGATTCTCTCTCAGAGCCTGTAAATCCTTGTGGGCACTGGGATTTGGGCCTTAGAAGACTCTAAACAGACTGCCTTGCCCACCAGATTTCTGTCTCACAGGAACTATTAAAATGATCATTTGCATTGTATTAAAACTGTAAACTTTGTAGTGATGGCAAAGGAGTATATCATGTTAGGATACATAAATGTCTACTTTTTTGATACTTCTAAAGAGAAACTAAAAAGAAACATTTAAACTACACTAACCAATGCTCACAATTTACCTAATCCCTATTGCTTAAGGCTACCTATAGGTACTCTAAACTTTTAAGATGCCCCCTACATGGTTCCTAATTGGTTTTTAGATGTTAGGACATATACACCCATGAATTCAATGCAATATTACATATTAAAGGTTAATTATGAAAACAGAGAAAATGAATACGATATTAATAAAGGGAAAAAATCATGCTAACTTGCTTATATATGGACAATCTCGCAAAAAAAAAAATTGTTTAGGTGGCAAGTAATGTTTCTCTAGGCTTTAGTGTGTACCATACTGTAGCTTAACTTGTGTAACTACAATAGGATCTTCCTGTAAAACATCCTACTGCTAATTTTAAAACATATTAAAAAGAAACACACCATTCCCAGAATTCCAGAAGTCTTTTTTAAACTGACACCATACACAACACTACCAGAATAAGCACTGGCCTGAACAGCAATAGCACAATGGTACTTTACCTGTTTTGTGAGTGAATAGACCATACTTTGTGTGTGTACTGGGGATTGAGCCCAGGGCCTCATCGGTGCTAGGGAAGTACTCTATCACCAATGAACCACATTCTTACTTTTTTATTTTTTGAGGAAGGGTCTAAGTGGTCTAGAATGACTTTGAGCTTGCTCTGTGACACAGGCTGGCCTTGAACTTGCAAACTTCCTGCTTTGGCCTAGTAAGTGGCTGTGATGATAGGTCTGTATCATCAGGTTCAGCTATCTAACCTCTGTCTGTAGAAAAGCATTTAGATTATGTCTGGACAGCTAATAAGGCTCCTGTCTATCTGCTGGTGAACATAGGCTTCCTGGGCACATACCTAAGTAGTGAAATTGCTAAAGCACAAATGATGCTCATGTCCACATTGAGCATAGAGTCAACCACTTTCTAAAGAGGCTAAACCAAAGTACAGTCAAAATCAGCAATTCTAAGAGTGCTACTTGCTCCTCATCAACACATGGTATTTCATGTCATTTTATCTTAATGATTCTTGTAAGTGCATATTAACTTTTATGTGGTTTAATTTGCATCTCAAAAATGCTTAATGGAGTTGACCACATTTTGTACATTTCTAAAAGTATTTGTTCCAAATTTTCATTTTTTAATTAGCTGTCCATTTTTCTTTTCAGTTGGAAGTTTCTGTAAGTGTTTTGGATACAAATGCCTTACTGGAAATATCAATAGTGGTATTTCTACTACCCTGTGAACTTTCAATTTTTTATAATTTTTAAAATTTATTTTTATTTTATGTGTATGAGTATTTGGCCTGCATGTATATAAGTGTATCCATATCGTGCAGTGCCCAAGGAAACCAGAAAAGGTTGTCAGATCCCCTGGAGCTGGAGTTGGTAGCCATCATGTGTGTACTGGGAACTGACACCAGGTCCTCTGCAAGAGCAACCACTGCTCTTAACCACTGAGCCACCTCTCCAGCCCCCTTTCTCCATTTTCTTAACAGCATCTTGTGATAAAAGTTCCTGATTACTACAATTTAGGTTTTTACTCTAGGAGTATTTTTGTATACCTAACTTAAGCCTTTGCCTATACTATTCTTTGTTTTTTTCTTTGATATTTTTATTTATTTTTATGGGGCTTTTGGCTACTCTAACATTCCCCCATCTGAAGAGGTATTCCTAAAATCTTTTAAGGATTAGATACAAGCTCCCTAAATATTTTTGACATTTTTTGGCCTTTGGAACAGAGTATGTTGCTAAAAGGCCCAAGGACATTTTGACTTTCAGTGAAGAAACTGGCTACTTTTCTTTGGGGTCTTTTTACCCTTATTGCTTAGCCAATTCCTACCTCCCATTCTTATCACACCATCCTCTGAAGAGGTTACCCAAATTGCCAATAGGGAATCAGGACACAGACCGCTCTGGCTTCTTCCATGCTGAAGAGGGACACAGGGTGAGGCAATTGGAGTACCCCTTCAGTGGGTCTATATAAAAGACTCCCAAATTGCATAACTGTTATCTCTAGGGGGAAAATAAAGTCCTTGAATCATGAATAGAAGATATGAAGGAAAAGTAAAGGCAAGAGTAATTAGCATTATAAGTTCTAGACAGGGAACTAGAAAAAAAGTTAGAACATAGCAATTTTCAAATGTTCATATTAGAGTCCATTGGAATTTCTTGACAAGGGCTTCCAAAACCATCCCTCTATTGGGTTCCTCCTCATTTTTCTTTTGTCTTCCAAGGCTGGACTTGTCTGCCAAGGCTGGACTCAAGAGTGACGAATTCAGCATTTGTTTTCAGGCACTTTGATATCAGTGTCAGTTCCCTCTCAAAGGCTTCTAGATAGGGAGAGAAAATAAATTTAGCCATCATTTTAGAACAACAGCTGGCTGTCTCCCTTAGCTATAGGTGGGCACTACAGTATTGGAGACCAAGATTTGAAGTCTTACATCTGAGGCCTTTGCATATTCCTCTATGTTTATCTTAACATGTAATATTCTGGCTCTAAGAGGCATCTTAGGAAGATCATGTACTCCATTTCTATCCACTCAGTACTATACAGATAATTGTAATATATTCCCATAATACCCAGATATTTTTCCACTTGATGTAGAAGCATTTAAGAGCAAGCACTCTATTTATTCACTATCACAGAGTGGTAGAGGCCCTGAAGTTTGTAGCTACAGGTAAATGTAAGAAGTCTGGATGTTCTGTACTATTTAAATATGCTAGATATATTTTCAAATGTGTCTAGAACAAACATTATTCAAATAGAATTTCATACCACAGTCTCAGTTCCTGTTCATCTTAAGAATCTTCTTAATTGAGAGGGTGTATCGAATGTTTCAAATGTCATCAACTAATCCAAGTAGAGAACTAAAAACATAAACATGCTGAGAAATGCAGTGCTTAAGCAGAACATAACTTCCCTTGAGGGAACTAAAACCAATTGAAAGAAATCAAAATATCAAAGACATAAGGCCACTAATCCATTTCGGAAAATGAACCTAAATTTTAGTTATGTTGATTTGGACAGATGGACTAACTCAAGATAGGAATTTAAGTCATGTGAAATATAAAACACTGTTTCAAAAGAAATTCATGAGTTCAGAAATGTACATGATAAAAGGATTTCCTATAAGTACTTCTTCTAAAGAAAACTTAAAATGAAAAAGTAGGGCTGGCCAAAGAGCTTGGTAGGTTAAAGGTGCTTGCTCCCAAAGCTGATGACCTAGATTCAATCTTCAGGACCCAAGTGGAAGGAAAGAATTAAGAGTCCCACAGTCCCCACATGTGCACCATGTGAACACACAAAATAAATGTAATGGAAAGAAAGTAAAATAAATGGCTCATTTGGAGCACAGAATAAACATTTAATTTTGGAGTGGTC